AATTTTAAGACTTTGACTAACATTTAAAAAATTTCTCTCTAATATCTATTTATTACTAATTGTCCGTGTCTGAAGGCACTAAATGACAAAAAAAATGGATATTATAAACTTATGCATTGGAAAGAGGCTTGCCTTTCTCTTTTTATTTTAATGTAAAGATAAAACAATTCTAATCTAATCACATAAGAAACATGCAAAGAAAAATCCAACCATAGCCCTTAAATATATGCACATGCAAAAAGGATAAATAGAATTGTTTTTACTTTTTTAAATATGCTTAAAGCTACTTCATGGACAAATAAAACTTCATAAATTTTAAACTGATGTTAGTCGGTGGTTAAAAAGATCACCTATTACAAATATTCATTTTTCTATAATTTTACATAGTGCAGACCAAAGCATGCGATTTATATTTTAAGAATTATTTGGGAATTAACTCATTTAATTTGACTATAAGGCTCATGATTAAGAAAACATAAGACAACCCACTCAAATAACCTGATGAAAGAGATATAGTAACTGATTTTGTTTTCTTTGCTAATCCATATGCTGATCCCATAAAATAAAGGGGACATGAATTGCCAAAAAAATTAGAAAACCTGTAACAAAATATGATGGACAAGTTAGCAAGCTCCACACCAATGTCATTGTCCCAAAATAAATAAATAAATAAAGCTAGCAGAATAGAATAAAATAGACCAAGCAAGTTCTAGTTTATAGTAAGATTTACAAAATACCCTACAAAATTCATAAGCAATTACATTCTCTTTTGTTAAGCAGGATTTGAAGAGAAAAAATTCAATAAAGAGTCAGAAGAATCATATCAACAACACCATAATACAATTGAAAATTCTAAAAAATGTCAACCTTCACATTCAACCCAATTCAAAGATATCAAATTTGCCAAAACAATATGAATTCTTGAACTACTGAGATTGAAAGGTTAGGGGAAAAAAAAAGAACAATTAAAATTGGATTACCTCAAATGGCAAGGATTTATGAACTTTCAAACTTTTCTCTCCATTATCTCAGTTTCTATCCCAATGTAAACATGCACATAGATACTTCACAATTTTTTTTCAAAATATAATTGAACAAAAGATCTCTAACTTTCCCACCTTCAACTTTCCTTATCCCTTTAAACTCCCAATTAGAAGATTTTCTTTTCCCAAAAAAAAAACACAAATTTTTACATCAAAAGAGACAACGAAAAAATGTAAATCTACATATCCAAGTCATTGAAGCAATACTTCAAACACTTTGTCATCACTATCGCATATCTGGATCATTTCACATAACTTAACGCTAATTATTTCAACTAATTCAAATTCCAAGGTCAAAGAACATAGCAATTACCTACGGGACATCATTCCCTTGGGATATTAGAGGCAAATCAGCCCAAAGACTTCAACGAACTTAAATGTATTCTGTCAACCGAATATGAAAAGTTAATAAATCAGGAAAACCAATGACCATAAATATCAGAAGGCTTGCACAGTTGTAGCTTTCAAATTCTGCAAAGGTACCTTTATACATAGATTTAAGGAGTAGGACCAAAACAAATTGAAAATGTCATTAACTAATGGCCATAGCTATCAGGACCCTTTCTTAATGAATGACAAAATTTAAATAAAATACATAGCTAAAAGATCAACAATAGAAAGGAAGAGAAATTATCTTCCAAGAGCATTGTGTGGCATTAGTGAGGTGTTTATCATGCATTCCTTTGACAAAATTATAGAATATGGTGTCTACACAAACAAAAAATAAATTCAAGATTTCCATGAGTTTGAACGAATAAATAAATTACTATAGCAAATACTAAGGTAAAGCCCGCAATATAATTCTTAACATTTAGAAACAAAACCCAAAAAGGCCATAGTCAAGTTCACATATTATTGCCCCGTACCTAAAGGTACAGTATAGCACAAAAAATAATTTTATTCTACAACATTTAATAGAATTTTCAAGCAATTTCGAGCATATATCATAGAAAGTAGATATTCAATAAAAGATCACCCACACACTGCGATCAAGTAGAACAATATTCCACGAGACAAACTAAAAAATAGAATTGCATAACTATGAGCTACATGTTCTTTGCATTTTTTTTTATTTTCCATAGCACCCATGCTTCTAAAACATGATCATTTACAGATGGCTATAACAGGCACTAAATAGGCTTATAAATAAAAATAATAGGAATGCCTCTAGTTATCTTGGTTTGGGTGATGAAGAGAGTTATTGCCACCTAAGCATTTTATAAGTCCGTTTTGTTATGAAAATGATAGGTTCCAAAAGTTTTAAGAGACTGACATTTGAATGCTTGATGAAAAAGAAAAATTATACAGTGCATGACACAAACAAAAAATTACCCAAATTGATGACAATTCTTCATTCAAGCAAGAACAGTTGATGAGTCCCACTACCAAAATTACAACAAAGCAACTTTGTTGCTTAATTCTAGCCAAGTGAACCCTAAAGACTGGATTTGCATAAGCAATTGTTGAAAAAACCACAAAGTAATGTAGCAAAACATACCAATGATAACAGTGAAACCCATCATGGAGAATCTTACCCAAGAAAACCCAGAAAAAAATCAATAACCATGCAGAAAAAAGGATAATCTATACTACTTACCGCAAAAAGAAAGATAATCTATGAATTTAGGTGCAGCAGTAACATTACAATCAACAGTCAATTGCACAGAAATTAAAATATTTTTCGTTTCTAATATGTACTCGCTAAAAAAACTTCAATGAAACAATAGTTAATAGTTAGATTCAGAATGAGTTCCTTGCCTAATCTTAGAGTTTATAATAATGCAAAATTATGAATCGAGTGTATCAAAGCATTGAGAGTTGACGATATACCCAAGTGAGAACTGTATATACTTGGTTTTCTACAACTCAAACTAATTATTGAGACTACGCATTCAAACTTAAATTTCAACTTTAAATAATCTTAACCTATGACGCAACAGTCTCGAAATTGAATAAAAAACATGGTTCATACATATTGTCAAACAACTGGTTTTCAGGGGTTAGGACGAACAGCTAGGGGGCTTTTGTGTGGGGTTACAATGGTGGAGAATGGGTGAGAGAAAGGGAGAGAAAGAAAGAGAAAGAGATGGTTGAGGGAGAGGAGATGATGCGTGAGAGAGGTAGTAGTGGTGATGGCTGTGCAGCGACGAGCAGAGAGAAGAAATAAGGGACGCAGAGGAGGGTGTGAAAGAGAGAGCCTATTGAGCGTGAGAGATGGAAAGAGGTAATTAAGCAAATTTGGGGGAGATCACATAGATCGCCTTCTTATGGAAAGGGGATCGTTGTGGTCTCCTTTTGTTTGTACTAAATCCCGATAAACCGTGTTTCATTCCTAAACGAGTTCAAATAATGCATTTTTCAACTATCCAAAATCTATAAATTCAACCACAATACACAAAGCCATGTGAAATAAAAGGACAAAAATTCAAACAAAATTGTTTCAAACTAATTCACAGCAATCGACAAAGGTTTAAGCATATCTTAAATAGTGCAGACAGAGAAAAAAAGTCATCAAAACCATGTATTTTTCCACAGCCAAACCCCCGAACAACAATAATCATCAACCAACTTTGATTAAAAACACCATATTGAACCATCTAATTCCAAATCCTTCCCCCATTAGTATCAACTTACCCATAAACTCCAACATCATAATAATAAAATACTTCCAATTCAATACAAATATAATGAAAATATATGACCCGCAGACATTGAGCAGAACATCAACACGGGAAAACTCTGAGAATGACTAAAACCAAGGGCAAATGAGAGAGAAAGAGGGAAAGAAAGAGAGAGATACCATTGACAATAAAGAGAGGGATACCAAAGGTTAGGTCACCACCAATACAATTTGGATGGAAAAGAGTGGGTGGTCGGAGTGAGTTAGTCCAGTGGGTCTCCAGATTATGTCGTGCGTTGCTGAAGAAGGTCTGTCCATCGTCGGAGTTTGCACAGAGAGAGATAAGAGAGTAAGGAGGATGACAAAGATTTGTGAGAAACTGAAAGAAGTGAGATAGTTAATAGGGGAAAGAGAAAGAGTTTGGGCGTGATTGAAGGGCTAGAAAGAGAAGAAATGTGTGTGAGAGAGAGATTTGGGGCGTTAATGATGGATAGAGAGTAAAACAGAGAGAAAAGTTTGCATTCGTAAAAAAATAGCGTGATTGAGGGGATTCTAAAATTAAAACGTTTATGCAAGATAAAAATTTTGATAGTTAAAAAAAGAAAATATTGTTAGGTGGGAAAATAAAATTTAGTACTTGTTATAGGTCGTTAGATCAAATTTTTTGAAATGATCTAAACCGTCTTTTATGTTGGGATTACGTTGTCTGTTGAATGTGTTTTTTTGTCTCAAAACGATTTGGACCTCTCTTTATCTCCAAAATTCAAACTCAACTCTATTTTATTATATAGACTAGTAATTGCCCGTGTCTGAAAGCACCGCGTTACTTGTAAAAAATGAGCAAAAAATTCTCTTAAGCAATAACACATATACAAATACATAAGGGAACCAAATCAAATTTACAATCTTTAAGTAATAAATGAAATCAATAAAAATTGTCTTATATTTGTCACCGTTATCATAATGCAATTCAATAACAAAACATAATTATAAACTCAACTCAATTTTTTTGTTGGATTGATGCTATCTGAGGAGCACACCTCAACTAAACTAACTGGAACAGACAGACCTAATTTATTGTCTGAAGTATGTGCAGTTCTTGCTGACCTTCATTGTAATGTGGTGAATGTTGAAATATGGACACATAATGCTAGAGTTGTAGCTATTGTTCATATGATAGATGATGCTACAGGGTGTGCAATTGATGATACAAAGTGGCTCTCCACAATAAAGGAATTTCTTTGTAATATTCTTAAGGGAAACAATGACTTGAAGACAACAAAAATGACACTTTCACCTCCTTATTTACACATGGGGAGAGAAGATTACATCAAATCATGCTTGCTAATCGAGACTATGAAAAGGTTGACAAATCTGAATGTGTGAGAATTGATGATAAGAGCTCAAGACCTCAAGTGACAATATTTGATTGTATTGAAAATGATTACACAGTGATTACCATGAGGTCAAAAGACAAGCCTAATTTGTTGTTTGATACTGTCTGCACTCTAACTGACATGCTATATGTAGTATTTCATGGAGTTGTTCACACTGGGAGGATGGAAGCTTTTTCGGTAAAAATATATTTTTTAAAAAGAAAAGTACGATTTGGAAGTGAATGATAGTTGAGGTAGCAATGTGAAACCAATAACAAAAATTAGATGTGTGAAAGACTCAGACATGTGAAACCAATAACAAAACAACCTGCTTGAAACCAATAACAAAACCGCCTGCTTGAAATTCTAGCTGAAAGACACAGACATTTCAGTTGAAACAATGGTTCGGCTGCACTTTAATAGCTGAGAAGTAGCAGCTAGAAAGAGAGAGGAGTTGTTGTCTTGAATGAATTGAGGGCAGCAGTTGAACAGTCATGTGAAGAGTGACTGTTCCAGCTACTATTTTTTTTTTTCACGGGCATCTAATTGCAGGATGTTATTGTTATGATTGTGGTTGTTTTAGATTCTTCCTTCAGTTTAACATCGATAAAGAACTCATTTGGAGAAACGTGAATGAACATTTATAGATTGATTCGTGATTAAGATAAATCTTTAGGGGCTTTAGGGCGTTTGTGGATGAAAGGGACATATGTATGGATTCAATGTATAGGAAGGAATTGCAGAGTGCATTGGGAGGGAAGGCTGTGAGTTTACCACAGGTGTTTATTAGAGGGAAGCATATTGGTGGTGTGGATGAGATTAAGCAACTTCATGAAGTTGGAGAGTTGGCAAAGCTTTTGGAAGGATTCTCAGCTCAAGATCCAGGGATTGTTTGTGACAATTGTGGGGATGCAAGGATTGTGTCGTGCCTAAATTGTAATGGAAGTCGAAAAGTGTTTGAGGAAGAGGAAGGGAAATTGAGGAGGTGCTCGGATTGCAATGAGAACGGATTGATTAGTTGCCCAAATTGCTGCTCTTGAATGCTACAATGCTGCCAATAAATTATGATGTATGTTTTGCTATATGTTATGAGCAATTCTACTACTAATGCAGTATATATCTCATTGTTTAGGATATTGTGTTGAAACTTGTTTCTTTTGTGATGTCTATATTGTGTACCTTTTGGTTATTCTTAGTTCATGATCTCTCTGAACTAAACTACCACTAAAATAAAAAGGTAACATTATTTACTTGTTACTTAATTCACAGGGAAGCTTGTAAATAACGAAATAAATAGCATGAAAATTTTAGGATTTACAAGTTTTTCCTAAATATTTATACAGTTTCACAAAAAAAATTTCCAAACCCAAAATGGAACAAAACAATTATCAATTTTTTTTTTCAGAATTTCATCTGAAAACATATGGTTTTGATGTTCTGGTCTAAAATAAAAATATCATGATTACAGGGTCGAAATTAAATTACACCTAGAAAGGGGGAGAATATGTTCAAAAAAATATTGTCAGTCTCCTTTCACAGTCTAGCGGACTACTGTCATATTTGGAAGGGCTAGGGTATCCAGTTGAATCATGGCGGTTTCCTGATAGAAATATTGGTGTTAGGCAAATGATTTCCTCATATCCCTCCTATAAGTCGCAGCTGGATGATCATGTAATCCATCTCCTCTTTAGTGCAAATCGTTGGCAAAAAAGGTTTGTTTTGTTATCCCATGCATGATGATAAATATCACTTACTTGTAATGCAGATAGAAAGTTGACTCTTATATGACATGCTTGTTTAGTTGCCTCTATGAATTGTTTGGAAATGTTTTTGATGGTTATATATCCTCATTCACTAATTCCTATCCAGAACATGAATTTTCAAACACAAAGGCAATCACAAATTGCAACACAAAGACTAAAATTAGAGGTTATTCGTGCATATACATACGTATATACAAAAATCTCCTATTCAACAAAAACTCCGATCTCAAACGTAAAATGTAAGCATATTAAATACACACACAAAAATGTGAATATCCAAAGCCAAAGCGTACCTGAAACAGAGGATCTTCCCTGTCTACCTTTCTCCTCTCCATCGCTCTCTACGCCTTTCGTTTGTCTCTCTATCTACTGTAGCCATCCAAAACGTTGGCTGGGTTGTGATTACATACATAAGCAATTATATTAGTCAAGCAAAGTCCTTTCATAAAATCCCATAAAAATACATAACCTCAAACACCCTTTCCTTCACCTTTTCTCGATAAAATTTTTTAAGAAAATATATTCCTTAATGAGAACATCAAGCATTGAGTTGAAGAGATTCAAAGATATGTACTTTTCAATCTTTAGAAACCAAATCAAGAAATTTGATCACTTCTCGAATCATATGAGCCCGATTGAGACCTCAGAGACAATATGGACAAAAATGTAGTTGTTTGGGGGTGAGCCAATCGAGCTGGGCTTTTCATCGAGCAATTCTTTGATAGTCAAGAATTTTTAAACTACATAGCTTGCATAGCAAAAAAATATATATGAAAGCAATAAAACTTAAACAAACCTAGTTAAGATTAGCAGACGGAGGCGAGATAGCAATTCAATCGTCAACAAAATCTTGAATCAAGGATCAAAATCAAATTGATGTGTGTGTTTTGTGTCTATGCCTTTCATCTGTCTCTCTCTCTACTGTAGCCGTCCTAATGCGACTACTATGAGTGAGATTTGAGATTAGAAGAAGATTTGAGATGGATTTCATGTGATAAAGGCATGATAGATTGGGAGAGGGAGGCAAAAGTGAGAGGGAGAGAGAGGCGTGAGAGAGTGAGGTAGGGATGTCAGTGGACTGAAGCGGGGACAGGGGATATAGTCTTCATCTTCGTACCCGCTTAAAAAAATTTCGTCCATCCCCGGTCCACTCACGTTAACGGGTATAATTTTCATCCCTATCTCTGCCCGCGGGTAAATTTCTAATCTCCGTCCCCGTCCCCGTTTTCCCCGTACCTTCCTAAGCCCAAGCCTAAGCTCAAACCTAAGCCCAAATTCAAGCCAATATAATCCAAAATTCTAAATAAATCTAACATTTTAAATAATTAAACAACATTCTAAATAATCTAATACACTATAATATAGCATAACATATTCCACCATAACGCAAACAACAATTGTCCAAAATACTACTTGAATTTAATATAACCGTCCTATAATAAATCACTAAATAAGTTAAGAGGCCCCACAAAATCGAATAGCTACTTGATCAACCAGCCATGAAACTCATCATCAGAGAACCTATAAGATATTTGCAAAAAAAATATGAGAGTTGAGATGTCAGCACCTGCAACCAGAAGCTACAATGTTAACTTGTTATGTGAAATTAAAAAAAATAATAATATTATACCATTAGCCCAAAACCAACATAAGATCACAAGACATATTGGAATCTGAAACTCTTAAATTTAAAATCTAAACATGCAAGTTATGTGAATATTTCTAGGAGATAGTTTTGATACTTTTAAATGTTCATCATGCAATTGGACAGAACTAACTGTGTATTTCGGCATCAATAAGTATGGTATATCTTTTGGTTAGTATGACAAAAAAAATGATAGAAGTAAATGGCGTTCAGTCCATTAGCAAATTAGCAATAGTAGGCGATGTCGCTCACAGATATCAATAGGTTGTCGACAAGAGCAAAATTGAAAAAGAAAAAACAGTTTGGGGATCATAATAATATTGAACACCATTTAAAACACACATGCATATACGTTAGAGAGGGGCTGGTTCAATTCCAATGGATGTTCAAATATCCAAACATAAATAAAAAAGTGCAAGCTATTTCACAACTTACCTATGGGTTTTATCAAAGATACAAGTTTGATACAAGTGGACTTCTCTGATCGCCTCTGGTAGAGTTTCGACCCATCCGAAAGTGGGTTTTAGCAACAAGAAGTAGGTTAAGAGAGACAAAGGGGTCCTAAGGCCTGGTGATGAATTGTTTGTTGGGTCGCTTGACAAGTCATGGAAGACTGTGGGGGGATCCTGTAACACAGAAAAATAGGTTAGAAGGGTGCCGGAGTGCTCTCCGGTGTATCCCCTCCGACGATCAAGTCAGTTTTTTGAGAGAGAGGAAGAAGAAAGCATTATGGTTCTTTTCATAAGTTCTTACGTACCTTTATAATATTGAGGACTATTTATACTTTCAACAGCTCATCATTGCTGATAATATAGCTAGTAGGCAATCATTAGAGATGGGGCAATGTGACCCATTCCCTTTAGTGGGGAATGCATTCATCCTTAACTGCTCAGGACGTCGAGCAATTAATGTTTTCCCCTCGGCCTAGGAGTATTAAATGCCCAAGCATGGGAGCATTTAATGTCTTTCACTTCTCGGCCCTCATGCCTTAAATGTTGTCTCATCAGGAAGGAGATACATTAAATGTCTGTTTGCTCAAGTCATGTGTCAGTAGGGGCATTCTGGTCCTTTTGTCTTTGATCTGACACCGCATGCCACGTGTCCATTCCTTCTTGGTTGAATATTCTGCATTCTTGTACCTCTTGACACCATTGAGTACAACGCTGATATGATAGCTAACCTAGCCTAGCCTGGCCTATGCTAGTCGCCTGTTAATCACCAGCTCTTGTAGGAGTGGAAAAGTCCACATTCCAATAGATAAACCTCGGCGTCGAGGGAGCATACACACATCGGGACAGATATCATCAATCTGAGCCGAGGGATATGTGTAATCCATGCCTCCTCAGAGTCCCTCGGCCCCTCGGGAATTATTCCCTCGACGGAAAGGGCTAAGAATGCCGATAACACGTGTCAGGATCATAACAGAGATGCTTCATCGGTGCCGAGGACACATGTCACCATTTGTTGCGTTCTAAAAATGTCTCATCAACTGTCCACCAGCCCTTTGATCTTCTGACACAGGGAACACGTGTCGTCAGAAGGCGAAGGGATTTGTAACTGCTCCAACCGCCTCATCATTGTTTCCAGCAGCTTTCCATCGTTTGGAGATCGTGCGCATTAAATGTGTCTTTTAGTACTTCGTGCGCAATGATGGGGACGGGTACTATATAAACGAACCCCTTCTCCTTCTCTTCCACTTTTGCTTCTTCAAAACCTCAAGAGAGCTTCTGCCGAAAAACCCGTCGGAGGACTTTGTTGCAACATCACCCTATCAGCCATCACCGTAACAAAACAAGTGATTTCCTTTTGTCTTCAAACTTCTTGAGGAAGGAACGAGTCTTTCAAGCTTTCAGAATTCCTTTCTTGTCCTCCGGTGAGTCCTTGCGTTCCTCTTCTTTTCTCCATCTTTCCTCTAGTTTGCTTTTCTCTTTCCGGTGACCGGAGGTCTTCCTGGCCCTCATCGATTCTTAGTCATTTGGGAAACCCTTTTGGATCCCTTTTAGGAGAGAACCCTCTATTTCTTCAATAGAGATGCTCAGACGTCGCCCTGACACCAAGGCCCAACAGGCTGGTTCCTCAAGGCCAGGGAAATACAAGGTAAAGGGGGACCAGCAAATTAATAACTTTAGAGCCCGATATCGCATACCCAGAAGTGTATGTATAAACGACTTTGACCCTATTCTGTACCACTGTAACCTCGGGACCAAGGATGAGATGTCTTTTCATACTAAGGCAATCATAGAGGGAGGGATTAGGTTTCCCCTGCCTCCTTTACTCCTCTAGTTTCTTCCTCGCTTCAATCTCTTCCTTGGGCAATGTTGCCTAAATAATGGGAGTCCTAGAAATCAATAATCGCCTCGGGGTAAACCTCAGTCCTGATGACCTCCTTTTTTGTTATTCCTTGTTGAGGGTAATGCCCCAGCAAAACTTTTATCTCAAGGCCAAGGACCCTTCCATGTACTTAGTGATTCACCTCCCCGACTTAGACAAAGGGTACAAGGACGACCTTCTGGTCTTCAGTGGGGTCTGGGAGAGGGGAACCGGTCCCAAGTACGCTAGTCTGAGGTATCCTCCACAACGGAGAATGACAAGTACGTCAGCCTCTTCGTGTCTTTCTGGTTTTCATTGTGTT